CTTCATACAGGCTGAAATAAATGCTCTTTATGCACATCTGTTAGTTGGTAACTCTCCGTGTCATGGTTTCAACAAAGTGCCTGGAAACACTGGTGGCTTTTACCATATTGTTTGTCGACATGGTGTAAGTGTCATTACYTTCATTTATTTTTTCTGTCCCTAAAGCCTCATTCTTCATTGGATAAACCTGCAGGACGAATTTCCTCACTTATGATCCTCCACTTATAATTTCATTATTGGATAATAATTATCTTTGTACATGGGTTTCTACATGTAAATCAAGGGGGGTTAACAATTTGTATAATTTATATAATGTAAAGTGAATCTCTATAGCGGTTTCTGTCCCAGAGCCGCTGTGCTATGTTGCAACTTTGTGCACCATRGCATAGTTGTCTTATAAATAAGTGTAAATTCTGGGAACTCATGACTTGATACACATTTTATTTTAGGTTACTGTTGCTTCTAAGTTTCTGTTGTTGCAAGAGTCTGTTAGAGATGCTGCAGATTTATATCTGTCACTACGTTACCCTCCTCCTATGTTCATATGTGATACACCTTGTGGATTTGCACGGCATATGGATATTAGAGATCCTGTTGTAACAAAAATGCTGTGGGCAGACAGAGCTGGTTGCTTTGAAATACCAGAAATTGGAAAAARTCCATCTCAGGTATTACATTTTGTTCAACCAAAACTTTAGACTAGATATTGATTTGAGTTGAGTTTGAATGTTTATTATACTTTCTAAAATTAATAAAAAGTAAACCAGATTAAAAACATCACACAAATGGTTTGCTTATTAAATATTTATTTTCAGATTATATACAAGTCATTTATTCATGTTCATGCCCATTAATTTGTTTTCTTGTGACGTTTTGCACATATTTGACATTTGTTATATTTAACTACGATTTTGTATTATTTTGGGATTTAAACACAAAACTGTCAATATTGCTTTGGCATTTATAAAAAATGGCAAGTAAAAAGACAAACTAAAATATGAATTTAATTTCCTAGGTTAGTGTTCCTGACATAGTTCCACTAGAGTATAGAGCAGAAAATGTGACTTTACCAAAACCAGAAGACATATTGAAATGGGAACATCCCATTACAGGTAACACAGATCGATATGTAATG